GAAGTGGAAGCTGAAGAAAATTAACAAGTATATGACAGCAAAGATACAATCTTGGGTATATCCCAACAGAATTTACAGGCCATCTGAAGGAGAGCTTTGACACACTGAACACCCGTTAATGAAGGTCAGACAAGTTATAGAATGACATCAGGAGTATCAGACATGAAGAAAGCAGTAAGCTGTTAGAAGACTATAGTTATTAGAAAGAAATAAAGCAAAGAACAAAATGGATGTCATAAGACACTCTGATAATTGCTTTTTAATGGAGAGTAGCTAAAGCAAATGCAAAATATGATGAAGTAAAAGAACTGGACAGATTATTTCAAACGGGAACTTGAGAAGACAAAGTAAAGAATTACAATGAAAAGTGCCATGAATAGGGAAGAACATGCCCACCATTTCTCAAGCTGAGAGAATTGAAGAAAAAATTCAAGCCTCAAGTTGAAATCCTGAAGTATTCTATGGGTAAAATATTAAACAATGCAGGAAGCATCAAAAGAAGATGGAAGGAATCCACATAGTCACTGTACCAAAAAGTATTTGTCCACATTCAACCATTTCAGGAGGTAGCATGTGATCAAGCACCAACAATATTGAAGGAAGAAGTCCCAGCTCCACTGATGGAATTAGGCAAAACAAGACTCCAGGAATTGATGGAATACCCATGGAGATGTTTCAATAAATGAATGCAACACTTAAGGTACTCACTTAAGGCACAAAGAAATTTGGAAGATAGCTACCTAGCCAACTGACTGTAAAAGATCCATTTTTGTGCCCATTACATAGAAAGGTTTTCCAACAGAATATGGAAATTATCGAACATCATTACTATCACATGCAAGTAAAATTTTGCTGAAAAGAATTCAAAAATGATTGCAGCAGTACATCAATCAGGGAACTGCCAGAAATTTAAGCCGGGTTCAAAAGAGGATGTGAAATGAGGGATGTCATTGCTGATGTCAGATGGATCTTGGCTGAAAGCAATGGATTCCAGAATGATGTTTGTCTGTGTTTTATAGACCATGCAAAGGCATTCGACTGTGTGGATCGTAACAAATTATGGATAACTTTTCTAAGAATGGAAATTGAAGAGCACTTCATTGTGTCTATGAGTAACCTTACATACACCAAAAGGCAGTTATTTGAATAGAACAAGGACATACTGCATGGTTTAAAATCAGGAAATGTTTACGCCAGGGCTGTATCATTTTATCATACTTATTCAGTCTGTATGCTGAACAAATAATCCAGTAAATTGGACCATAATGAAGAACTCAGCATCAGGTTTAGAGGAAGAGTCATTAACAATGTGCAATATTCAGATGACACAATCTTGCTTGCTGAAAGTGAAGATTTGAAGAGCTTACTGATGAAGGTCAAAGCGTACAACCTGCAGTATGTATTACCTCTTAACATAAAGAAAATAAAAGTCCCCACAACCAAACCAGCAGGCATCATCATGATAAATGGAGAAAAGATTGAGGTTTTTAAGGATTTCATTTTAGTTGGATCCATAACCAATGCCAATGGAGGCAGCTATCAAAAGCTCAAACAACATATGCCATTTGGCAAATCTGCTGCAAAAGACCTCTTCAAAGTGATCAAGAGGAAAGATGTTACTTAAAACACTAAGGTGAACCTGACCCCAGCCATTGCCTTTTTAATAGCATCATATGCATGTGGGAGGTGGGCAATGAATAAGGAAAACTCCATAAGAAGTTCTGCATTGAAATTGTGGTGTTGGTGAAGAAAATTGAATATATCATGGATTGCCAGGGAATGAACAAGTCTGTCCTGAAAGAAGTACAGCCAGAAGGCTTCTTAGAAGTGAAAACTGCATGACTTCATCTTTTGTATTTTGGTCATGTTATCAAGAGGGACCAGTCACAGGAGAAATATATCATGCTTGGTGAATAGAGGGTCAACAAGACGGATTGACATGGTGCCTGCAGGAATGGGCTCAAGCATGGCAATGATTGTGAGGATGACGCAGGACCAGGCAGGGTGTCCTTCTGCTTTAAGTAGGGTCTTTATGGGTCAAAACTGACTCAGTGGTAGCCAACAGCAACAATGACTATCAATGGTATAATTTTGTTTTTAACTGCCATATGCTTTTTAAAGAAATTAAGAAAAAAGATAATGCTTGTATTTATAAGTACACAGAGATCATTTCTGATATACTTAATATTTTCTACTGCATTTTTCTCCCATCTACTGCACTACCCCTCACCTGAAGACCTGCCTTTGACATTTCTTAAAGACCAGGTTTACTGGCAAGTAATTCTCTACTATCTGGAGATGAGTTTATTTCACCTTCACCTTTGAAGGACATTTTCATTGCATACAGAACTGGGGCCTTTTTGTCTTTCATTGCTATGGCAATGTCCTTCTGTGATCTGCTGGCCTCCATTTCTTCTGCTGGGAGTCTAGCTGTCTCTCCCGTCAGTGCTCCTCTTTCCGTCAAGAGCCATCGTTTCCCCTCCGGCCATTTGCTCTTTGTCTCTAGTTTTCAGTGCTTTGATTGTGATGTCCTGGGCTGTATTTTTCTATATATTTACCCTTTTTCAGGCTTACTGAGTTTCTGATGTCAGATTTTTTAACGTTTTATTTTAAATAAATTTCTGGATATTTCATCTATAATTTCTTCAAATATCTTTTTCTGTCCTCTCTTTCTGTACTCCACTTTGAGGTATATTAGACTGGATATATTGTCCCATATGTCACAGAGATTTTGTTCATGCTCTTTTCAATCACTTTCTTCATCATCCGCAGACTGGAAAATTCATATTTCTCTGACTGTAAAGTTCTCTGACATCGTACCCAATCTGTTACTATGCTTTACGATGAATTGCTTATTTGAGATACTGTACTTTTAACTTCCATGGTCTCTATTTGATTTTCTTAGATAATTCCCTTTTCCTTAGATGACTTATCAGTTCATATTTACAGGCATATTTTCTTTTAATCCTTGGACATATTTACAAAAGGTGTTTTAAAGTTCTTAAGGTACTAATTCCAATATCATGTGTTTAGTCTGTATTGAATACTTATGTATGGGCTACATTTATTTGTTTCTTTACTTATTCAGTAGTGTCTGACTGACTCACTGCCATTGAGTGATTTCTGACTCATGGCGACCACCTTGAGTTTCCGAGGTGGTATCTCTATGGAAATAGATTGCCCAACTGTCCTTCCAAGGAGTGGCTGGTGGATTTGAACCACCAGCCTTCTGGTTAGCAGTCAAATGCCTTAGCAACTATGCCACCAGAGCTCCCATCCAGTAGTGTGTTTATATAGAGTGTATATACAGAGAATATATATATATATATATATATATATATATCCATACACACACATACATGCATACATACATATATACATACATACATACATACATATATGCCTTTCAAGTGTGTTCAGTTCTGTTCTCCTAGGTTTTTAACTTGGCTGGAATGAAGCTCCAAACCATTTCTTCCTGTCGTGGGGTGCAGCTGACATTTCTATGCTACTCTTTAAATTTCTTGCATGTTGTTTTCCATTAGCTCCCATAGAGTCACACACACAAGTACACACAGATGCACACATGCTCTTTCTTACATACACACACTCATAAGGACTCACACACAAATACAAACACACGAATTCCAGGATCCAGGGCACTCTTTTGAGCAGATTTCAGGAGTCTCCACTCTAGATCCTTACATTCCAGATTTCCTGCTTCATTTTGTAGGCAATCTGAGGCCCATAATAACCCTGTATAACTTCAAATTCCTGTTTGAGTTTAGCAAAGCCACGTCTATATGGGCATGGCAATATCCTGGGGTAGGAACCAAACAGACAGAAATCTCTAACACTGTAGTTAAGTCCCTCTGTGGAGCCAAAGATCAGTTTTAAGGATGGAAATACCAGGGTCAGTTTTTTTTTTTTTTTTTTTTTTTCCTGGAGAACCAAATCTGGTCTCAGTGGAGGACATATAGGAGGAGTTGGAAAGAAAACTGGACATGCAGGAGTGAAAATAAGCCTGAAGTAATTAAATATCTGAGGGTGTGAGAGGTGGGAACACTTGTAAGCAATGTCATAGGTTTTACCTGTAGGCCTTGGTGAACAGGTGGATGAGAGGGAAGCACAGTGTATCAGACTATCATGTGCTCATTGAGCAAATGTCTCTTGAGGGCCTACGGTGGCCAGGAGTTCCCAATGTGATGACAAGCCAGAGAGGCAATGCCCTGCCCCACAGAGCCTCCATCCAGGGAGAAGAAGTGGCAGGTTGCTAAGTGGGTACAAAGCATGCACCAAGGAAAAACACCAGGAGCAGAATGGGGGGTGGTGCTGAGTTCAGATTTGCACATGTTACATTTGAAGGGCCTGTAGCTCATCAAGGCAGAAAGCCAAAGAAAGCATGAGCTTCTCAGGTCTGGACTGCCAAAGTGGGATCTCCAGGAGGGACAGTTCAGAGAAGTTTGCATCTAGGGGCAGATTCTGGCCTGGGTTGGCAGTGGGGGGCCACAGTGGGCCCAAGGCTAGAAAAGACACAATGTACACTGAAAGGGACATGAAAGGAAGCAACACCCCCACAATAGTGAGAAGAAGCAGTTACTGAGGGTGTGGATTAGAGTCAGGGCTGTGAGGGTCACCCCGACAAGAGGCCACCTCAAAATGTGCAGCCCACAGAGAGAATGGCTACAGGACCAGGAGAATCCACAGGGCAGGGCAGGGCTTCCTGAGGGCAGGAGAGCAGCAGGTTCCTGTCTCTGGGCTTACCTGTGTGGGGGGTGGGATGGGGGAGCAGGTGGAAAATTGAAGGAAAAGCAAAGGCAAATGATGACATGCTGTTGCAGAGGCATGGAGGGTGGTGGTTAAGGAGTTAAATGGCTCTTACTGGGAAAACAAATTCACCCCTTCACTTTCTGGTCATCCGCAAACCCTTCAGAATTGAGTGTCTTGTAACCCCTTGTTCAGACTTGCAGGTTATCTGGAGTGAGGGCCACCCCTTGTGAGCCATGGAGCCTGGGAGAACCACAAAGTCCAACCAGTCACTGGTGGCTGAATTCGTGCTGCAGGGGTTCTCGGAACACCCCTCCCTGCGGCTGCCGCTGCTGGGCTGCTTCCTGGTGCTCTATGTCGTGGCTCTCACAGGTAACACTGTGATTATCACTGTTGTGGGCTTCAGCGCAGGCCTTCACAGCCCCATGTACTTCTTCCTGTCCAACCTGGCCACCATGGACATCATCTGTACCTCCACGATCTTACCCAAGGTGCTAGCAGGTCTGGCTGCTGGACAGCACACCATCTCCTATGTAGGCTGCATGGCCCAGCTCTTCTTCCTCATCTGGTCTGGGTCCTCCGAGCTACTGCTGCTCTCAGTCATGGCCTTTGACCGCTATGTGGCCATCTGCGGTCTACAGCCCACTGCACTACAGCACCATCATGAGCTCGCGCATGTGTGCAACACTAGCTGGGGGTGTGTGGGTCACCTGTGCCCTAAACTCCTCTATCCACACCAGTCTGATGGCACGGCTGAACTTCTGCAGACCCCGAGTCATCGAGCACTTCTTCTGCGAGATCCCCCCACTGCTGCTGCTCTCCTGCAGCCCCACGCGAGTGAACAGCATCATGACTCTCCTGGCTGATGGGTTCTATGGCTTCACCAACTTCATGCTCACCCTGGCCTCCTATGTCTGCATCGTGGCCAGCATCCTGTGCATCCGCTCTCGGGAGGGCAAGCTCCGTGCCTTCACCACCTGCTCCTCCCACCTCATCGTGGTCTCTGTGTACTACTCGGCCGTGTCCTGTGCCTACATCAGCCCCGCTTCCAGCTACAACCCCGAGAGGAGCAAAGTGGCTGGGGTAATGTACACTGTTCTGAGTCCCACCCTGAACCCACTGATCTACTCCCTCAGGAATAAGGATGTCCACTGTGCCCTGGGCAAGCTCCTCCCCTTCTGTGGAAGGTGAATCAACAGGCCAAGCAGGTCTCTCCCACCAACATAAATTCCTCAGTCGTAGACACCTGGCCTGAGATGACCTGGTGGGGCCACCGGTCTTGGCTGCAGCTTGATCACATGGCTTATTTGCTTGGAACTATCCCAGGTGCCTCATTACTGACTGGGTCCCAGAACACAAATATCTGTGGAACTGAATTCCTCGTGGAAAGTGTCCCAGGGACGTGGTTCCACAAGGACTCCTGACCTTAAAACTGCCCCCAGGCTTTTCTCCATCAAGTTCTTCCATATGTGCCCCCTCCTCCCACACCCTAAAACTCTAAGGGAAGGCACAGTCCTTGGGCACCTGTACTTCACTGCTCACTGCTTCATTGGATCTCTGCCTAGACATCTCCCCCAACAACACTCAGTACCAGCCACCTGAATGTGGCCTCCTCCATGTATTCCATCCTCTTCCTCCAGGAACCCAGCCCCTCACTGTACCTCTGCCAGCTGGGGTCCCACTCAACTGTGAACTCTAAGTGCACTCACTAAGTGATGGCTTATCTCCTCCAGGAGATCTGAGTTCCTTGTGATGCAGTCTCTCCAGCATTGGTGTTTCACAGGGGATTAATGGGTCTTGGTTATGCCTCAGGGGCCCCACACAGTGTGTGTGAGAGAGCACTGAGGCAGTCATCACTGTCCTAGTGGTTGTACCACAGAGGGGGCAGATCTGAGTGTGTGATCCCTGTACCTTCCTGTGACGGGAAGTCCTGTAATACAGGTTGTTATTATTTTTTTTTTTTTTTCTGAAAACACTGTCATGACTCAATATAGAGACCTGCCTAAAGGCTGGTTCCTCTTCCTGAGCACCTAAGTCCACCCCCCACCTCTCCCCTTATCAGGTTCTCACTCCCTTGAGCGACTCTGCACCTGCCCTAATCATCCAGGGCCATGTGCCCAACACCTTGCAACAATATGCTCTGGAGTCTGCAGAACTATTCAAAATGCCCCATTTCCAAGGTGCCCTCAACCCTAGATAAGCCTCAGCTTTACATAAGCCACTTTATATAGTTCTAGCTTGGTGTTTGCTCCCGGAGACCTGGTCCCTCTCAGGAGGGTAACAAGGGAAAGTGCTCAGTGCAGATCAGTGAGTAAGCACAAGCCCGCCCGTGCTTACCTCGCTCCTGGGGACTAAGCACAAGC